CTCTCTCTCCCCACATACATTCACATGAAACGACTGTTTTTGCCCAATTTTTTTCGGGGAAAGCAACTTTTCATCGTAAGAGAGTATCATCGTAAGAGAGTATGAGTATAAGCTCATGAACTCACTCCTCCGCGCGCGCAGGCGCTGGCGCGAGCAATTCCGCTTGTCCAGCCTCTACGCTTGTCCAGCTTTTCCGGTTCGAATCAGCTCGTAAAAGACCGCCGCGAAGTACGCTGGCGCGCGCGCACCTCCGCCGCGGAGTGCCCCCTGCCGCGAGGGTAAGCTTATTTCATCGTACCGGTGCACGACTTTTTTTATGTTAGTGAAGACACGAGCGGTGCAGTGATGCGCTATCGTGGGATTTTTTCCCGTACGGAACCTCCGTGCGCATGCGTAAGCTGACGTCACAGCTAGACGTTGGCTGCTACCACAGATGTATCTAGGTGTACTATAGGGGATATGATAGTTTTCCCGCGTTTTTAATGACACACGACATATTATAGTGCATTATAATCAATTACAATTGAAATTAGCTGATATTGTGAAAGAAGAGGGTGAATTACTGAGGGTTCAAAGCGTTTGCTTAATGCGCAGACGCAACTTTATTCCCACGACAGCGCATCACTGCTATCTAGACCAGGGAATCTGTTCCTCGGATCCAGTGTTGCGATATGGGACCGGTTGTATGCGCATGTGCGGCTCTGCGCATGTGCGGTGATGGAGATCCAGTGCTGTTATATGTTATGTGTTGATCGTATGGCGGGACGTTTTGACATGAGAAGACCTTCTCATGTCAAAACGGGACTACAAATAAGGTAAGATTTATTTATTTACAAACATGGAATCTACGGAGCCAGCAGCAAAAAAACCAAGAAGTAAAAAATTTCAATCAATTTCAAAAAATTTAGAAATATTTTTAATGTAGCGGGGTAACGGTGCCTTGTTTAATTTGTATGAGACACTGTACTGACGCCTATTGCCGCACATGCGCATACAACCGGTCCCATATCGCAACACTGCTCGGATCCGAGTACCACCGCATCCCGTTGTCTCAAACGACATTGGGACGATCCGAGAACACCAGCATTCGTTTATTTCACTCATTTGCATTGCCAAAGTGGCATTTCATTTCATTTTTTATACTGCCAAAGTGGCACTTCTTCTTTGTATTGCCAAAGAGGAATTTATTGTACAGATTGTGAATGATGAAACACATATCTATGTATTAATATGTTGGTATTATTTATGTATTACGATTCTAAAAATCAACTTCCTCAATTCAATGAAATAATTATAAATATATTATACTTATAAATCTTCAGCTGGGTTATCTTTTTATTTGTTCTTTCTCTTTTCAAGTAACATTAGACATTTAGTTTTAATTCCTAACATAGTTTTAGAATTACTTACAGAATAATAAACTAAAAGATTTTACATATAAAGATTTCCTTTGTTGAAAAAATTGTCTGCAAATTTAGGTTACAATTTACAATGCATTTCATTATTTAATACTTGTAAAATTGGTTCTGCACATTTGGAATCCATTGCTAAACTGTCGATATATAATATATATAATTTAGCTGACATCTGTTTAACTTCAGAACATGATAGAACTGAAACAAATAGATAATTTTTATTTTTTAGTAGAATATTTATATTTAATATGCTTTAAATGTTTATCATGTATAAAACAAATACTAACCTTTGCACCAACTCCAAATATAAAATCTGGGTGTTCTAATGGTTCAATGTTACGATCAAGTTCAGTAATATCATGTGCCTTTTTGGTAACTAATAGCGTTTTCGATTATACAGGATTTGAACGACCCAAGATTGGTTAATGACGTCATTGCAACCTCTCCACCAATGAAAGACTTGCATTTATAGTAAAATAGTGATTGACCAACCCTAGATCGTTCAAACCCCGTTTATTTGAAAACGCTATAATATTCTCAAAAATGATGGAACATTTGGAATTTCTCGATTTGTACCTTTAAACCGTTTCATATTATGGCATGCTATATAAATTATACTTTTTGCACCCGATAATAAATCAGATATCTATAAAAAATAAATATATATTGCAGTTAGATTTATTAACTATATATTAAGATTACTAGATAAATGATTACTAGATAATTATAGTTAATAAAATATTTACCGTATTTATAAATTTTTCTGCATATTTTGTATCTAATTGTGGCAATATTATACACAAATATATATTTTTATCAGTTTGATGAAAGATGATAGAAACTTTTGTACCATTTTCATTTTGTATAATACATGCTTCTTCCAATTTGTACAACAAGTATTGTTGCATAAAAGCTGAAACAAAACCAAAATAGTTTAATAAGATATAAATAAAACAGATAATCTAAAACACTGTCATATTGTAACAGAATACATTACAAATTAAGGAATATCCTTCCATTAAGATAAACTTTCGCATATGTGTTGGTTTATTTTTTACCCAACGAACATGTAATTTTCTGAAACAACAATCAATTGTGAAATATCAGTAAATATGCAGAACATCAATTTATTTGTATTTTAATAAAAATTTTATATGTTTTAATAAGAAAATAAAATCTGACAATTCATTAGCATCGTAATTGCGACTCACAACCATGTTTCCGGATCATTCACTTCATATTCTTCATGCCAAAATGCTAGTGGACATGGTGGGACAGTTTTTCCAAAGGCTTATAGCGTTTTCGATTATACAGGATTTGAACGACCCAGGGTTGATCAATCACTATTTTACTATAAATGCAAGTCTTTCATTGGTGGAGAGGTTGCAATGACGTCATTAACCAACCCTGGGTCGTTCAAATCCTGTATAATCGAAAACGCTATTAGTTTACACCGATTGTTTAATACGCGTACCAAGTACTAAATCAGCTTCTTTGATTGGTGTAGATTTTACACTAAACGATTTATACCTATTGGAGAAGCAGATTTAGTATTTGGTACGCGTACTAAACAATCGGTGTAAACTAAGCTAAAGAAATTAGCCATCTTTCACTCAAACGTCTTATGAAAAAAAAAAACAATATAATGCCAAGGCTTCCGTTTCTACCGAAATGTCCGCGTTTCCGGTATTGAATTGTTTGCCATGAGATGTTTTGTGTAAATGCAGTTAGTTTTCTTATTGAAAGTTTTCGCTTTAGTTTTTTTATTACATCCGATAAAACAAGCAATCATTAGCATAAAATTCTATTAATTTTGATACTCAATTAAATTCCAATAAAATTTTAACAAGCGTAACAAGCGTAACAAGCGTAAAATATATTTTTATAGGTGGACTTTTGAAAAGCTATCACCTCCGATTTGGCTGATATTCAGCCTAAATACTTATTTTATCTAGTAAATAACATTCCCAAATAGATTTTTGGCGCAAATGCTCTCTCCGCCCCCCCCAGCCCCCCTCAAAGGTAAAACCGTTTTTGTTAATTTTTTCAAAAAGTATTTATTGTACGGAAAAAGTTGTCAAACAAAAAATAAAGCTCATAAAAAGCTCTACAAATAAGGTCGTATACATATTTTATCTAACTCTAATATTTTAGTCGTTGTTATCAAAAAACTTGCAAAAGCCATCGTAAGGGTGGCACCCTCTGTATCCAAGCATGCACTTTACAACGCAAAGCGAGGTTCCACGTGGGTTCACGACTTTCTATGCAAAGCGAGATCCAGATCCTATGCGTATAGTTGTTTGGTGGAGGAGGCCCCCGCAGGGGGCGAAACATACTGCTGCTATATTTTTGATAATAACGACTAAAATATTAGAGTTAGGTAAAATATGTATAAAATCTTGTTTGTAGAGCTTTTTACGTGCTTCATTTTTTGTTTGACAACTTTTTCCGTACAATAAATACTTTCTGAAATAATTAACAAAAACAGTTTTTCCTTTGAGGAGTCTTGGGGGTAGAGGCATTTGCGCCAAAAATCCATTTAAAAATATTATTTACTAGATAAAATAAGTATTTAGGCTGAAAATCAGCCAAATCAGAAATGATAGTTTTTCGGAAGTTTATTCTCGATATTATAAATACTTACTTAAAAAAGACAAAATTTCTTGGTTTAAGAGATCAGGGAATCAATTGTATGTTCGTTAACCGCGTTCAGAACGACTACTGAGGGCTGTTTCAACCAACGTGGTTCAGTACATGGTATAAAGACAAGGGTATGCTCTTGCGCACGCGACCAATCAAAATTGTCAAAGTGATACGTCACAGATAAGCGGTAAATTTAAAACTACTGTTTCCAAGCAGCTTATGGGTGTTTACGATAATTCAAGTTCGAGTTAGTTTCACTAGGACCGAAAAATGAGATAGACATAACCATCTAGAATCTTTATGATTTATGACAACTCAACGCTGTCTTATATTGCTTGAGTTAAATTAATTGAATTTGTTGAGTTTATAGAGCAAATTTTATTGTAATAAAAAAATGTTAACTGCAAATCAGTCTATGAAAGAAACAAATAATGTTGGTATGTATGTTGATATACCTCTTTAATAGATATAATTATATATATATGTATATAATTATATTTATTAAACTCAACAAATTCAATGAATTTAACTCAAGCAATACAAGACAGCGTTGAGTTGTCATAAATCATAAAGGTTCTAGATGGTTATGTATATCTCATTGTCGGTCCTAGTGAAACTAATAGCGTTTTCGAGTAAACGGGGTTTGAACGACCCAAGATTGGTTAATGACGTCATTGCAACCTCTCTACCAATGAAAGACTTGCATTTATAGTAAAATAGTGATTGATCAACCCTAGATCGTTCAAACCCCGTTTATTCGAAAACGCTATAACTCGAACTTGAATTATCGTAAACACCCTATGTAATTCGTGCGCATAATGTGCGAAACGGAACGCAACCCATGACAGTCAAGGATATAACCTAATTTTATGTAAAAGTGCTGTATCTGCCGAGATAAATATACGAATGCGCATGCGCGAAGGAGGAAAAACCGTCATTATCTTGGCAGGTGTTGCATTATAGCAAAAATGGTACAAAGCTCTATCTATATGTAATATATCTATGGCATCGATGGCATCGATCATGTAATTTTTCCCTAGGAGTAAAAACGTGAAAAGTGAAGTGGGAGTGGACATGCTCGCATTTTTCGTGTTTCTGTGGGCTAGCGCCTCTATGTGCACAAAACGTGCACATTGAACTACGTAGCCAATGTCCACGAATCCCGTAGGTAATGTCCACGATCTTTTGGGTTTCTTCCGTGCTATGTTTACGACTTTTTGGTTCCGATATGTGCTATATTTACAAAGTGTCGGTGGGCTTGTTCGTTTTAGCTACACTGGGGCTGCTCTGGGTCTGCTCTACACAGGATAATACAGGACAGATAAATAGTTTGTCCTGTATTATCTTGTTTAGAGCAGACCCAGAGCTGCCCCAGTGCAGCTAAAACGAACAAGCCCGGTAATGCATACTTGTAAAACATGATTATGTATATCAATCAGATTTGAAATATAAATACACACGTATTGTAAATACATGTATTGTAGCATTTATTTTTGCATTTACAGTTTATTTAGCAAAAGATCAGTTATTTTCAATAACCTGTGTAATTTGAAAATGTACATTTACATTATTTTAATAAATTACTTCTATAATTGTGTGTGTGTGTGTGTGTGTGTGTGTGTGTGTGTGTGTGCGCGTGCGTGTGTGTAAATAAAGTATTGCATTTTTGTCAATATTTAAAAAAATGATAAACTTATAGATATTTCATACAGTAATGACCAATAACTTATTTTGAATATTAAAAGCCAGGGTTGGGCGTTTACACGTAAACTATAATAGATGTAAAAATACATATTAAACACGAATGCAAGCTAGACAGTAAAAAATAATCTTTTTATTTATAATTTGAGAGGACTATAGTCATGAATCGCCGCAAGCAAGTGTGCACCGCACAAAGTTTCATTTAACAATTAAGTTTTAAAATCTAATTCTATATTCTTAACACTACACATACACAAAATTTTGTGTGCTTGTTCTGGAAAACTTTAATTTTTTTTAAAACA